TGGCGAAGGGGAAATGCTAGGGGAGGGGGGGGGTGTAAAAAGCATCTACAATACATAGAGAATGCCGATAAAGTGAATCAAGCTAGGGCTTTCAGACATTCTCTCCAACATACTGCAAACAGGCACACGACGTAGGTAGCTAGAGTGGTAAAGAGAGTAATGTAAAGGAAATAATAGCAAGCAACTTGTAATAAGCATTACTCTACAACTTGCTACCGATAGCAGTTTCCTTCCCTTTTTAAGCACCCAGGTAATTATAACAAAAACGCCATATTGAGCATTCTAATTCTAATACATTATTATAAAGACGAGGAGCCTTTGACATAAAAAATGTTGACACTAATGGGAAAATGATTCTTCCTCTCAAGGACATTGACCCCTCCTCAACAAATCATAATATCTGAAACAAAAAAAAGGCTACCCGCTTTCACTAAAAGGATAGCAACAACGACAAAATACCCCTGCTTAAAAAAGGCGTATCTCCCCTGAGCATAGCGTTTATCTGCGCTGGCTTGCTGCAACACCCCTCGACACTTTAGCTCATTAGCGCCCGACCCGCGACACCATTTTCCAAAGTCCGATAATCAGGCAAAGTCTTCCGTCACTGTCCGGTATTTTCTTTGTTACTCCCCTTGGCACGATCCATCAAGTGCCTCCGGAGAGCGAGAAGGATTGGCCTCGCGGGTCAAAGGTCACAGGCTAACCGGGGCCCCAACTGGGCGCAGCTCGCAGAGCTAATTACAACTACCCGCGTCTAGATGGATCGCTCTTGGTCGGGGCTGCGACACGGTGGTCAGTCTTCGGAGCACAGGTCTGGTCTAATTAGCGCGGGAACGCGTGATAGACTGACCAGGGGGAGAGATACAATAGCCGCTCACCATCTGTGGAACACGTGCGAGGGGGGCTTTACGTCACGGTGATCAGTCTAGAGTTGTCCCTTATTAAACATCGCTCACAGTGAGATCAACAGTTAACCCCTTAACTGTTGAAACGTGTCCGCCTACGTTTATACAATAAAAGTTAACTGTCGCAGGTGCCGTAAAACTTTTACTAAAACTAAACTAAAACAATAAAGGTAAAATTAAATGTTGCAAGTGCCGTAAAACTCTTACTAAAACTAAACTAAAACAATAAAGGTAAAATGTTGCAAGTGACGTAAAACTCTTACTAAAAACTAAACTAAAACAATAAAGGTAAAATGTTGCAAGTGCCGTAAAACAACAAAGGTGAAAGATTCGTTCAAGAGAGATTCAAACAAAACCACAGTA